GTCTAAAAGTCGCCAACCTTGCATGCACGAAGGATGTACAAAACTTAACGAAAGCACAAAGATGTTGCTAACAATCGTAGACACGACGCAGTCGCCTGCTGCCACCGCGTGATTACCCATCGAGTAGCCGACCTATGCAGTTGCCAATGGTTTTAACTATTTTAACCGAGTGGGCCTATTGCTGCAGTCACAGTTAAGTTTAGGTTGCGTCACAAGCTCTTTCGCATGAGAGAAAGTGCGCAACAAAGAGCAAGTTAATTAGCTCGCTCTCTTATAACGCATGAACCAAAGTCTTAATTATTCCTTGTAATAACACTATTTTGACAAAAGTCGTTTTTAAGTTATTGAAATTTTGACAGTGTTATTACCTATATAATGACATTCAATTTCATTCAATAAGCTCGTTACTTGTTTGTTAGTTTTGTTAGTAACGAATAAAGTGCTACTTTAGTAGAACAAAACTAATTACCACTCTATAAATGATAATTAGATCATTCTACCAAGAGAAAAACTAAGATTAAAAATTTTCTCTTTTCTATCTCTAGGGATCCCAGTTCAGGCTATGCCTCTGGGACGATTTGGTTAAACAAATCGCCTGCCGACTCAGTTTACTGAGTGCACCGACAGGTCTCCTAGTAAACAAAGAGAAAATTTTTAATCTTAATTTTTCTACTTTGGTAGAATGATCTTATTATCATTTCTGGAGTGGTAGTTAGTTTTGTTCTACCAAAGTATTTATCATTTACCATAGTCAAAATCTAGACTCTGCTACCTGTTTCTATTCGTGTTGTAGTATCTAGTGCTTTAGCATTGACGAATTGGTCTATAGATCTGGACAGTGATCTCTAGCTTAATTCAAGTTCATTGAGGTTGATTATTTAGCTTTCTATTTGTATATATACAGCTACCTCTAACAGATTTATATGCATATTAATAATGAATTATATAGCATTAAGTAAATTAGCTAACTATTTTTCTTGATTATGAATAATAGAGCTTTGAAAGGGTACAACATTTTTTAACCTCGTGTCCTAGTAAAAGGCGATAGATAAATCAAAAGAGAGAGACTCAGTATTGACTAAAGAACAGTCTATAGCTAGCAATTTTATTGCTTAATCGTTATACAAATTTAGACACGTGTCATATGCGTTAACGCTGAGCTGGCTCATCAGAGAATTGTTATTGTCAAGTACTGTGAAGAAAAGTTTGCAAGAGAACCTTATTGGAGTGAAATAGAACATACAACTTGATGCTTAGGCGTACCGTCGATGGTAGTACCTTTATTTGGTCGAAGCTTCCTGCTATTCTTCTTGGGAAGTATTTTACCATTCCCATTAAGATTGTGAAATAACAACTTAGGAAGCATTAGCTTGATCTTTGCTCTACAGCAAGGTAGATAGCGGTTTTTGAAATTATAACGATAATACTTTGAGCTGTCACACTTTATTTAACTTAATTCTAACATTTTATTTATAAACTAAATTGAGTAATATCATTTATTCTCTTAAACTATCCTAACGAAAAACTTAATAACTTCTAAGGTAAGGATAAACCTTATACAAAAATAAAAATCCTTACAATAAAACAAAAATTTATTTGGTTATACCTTTGTTAAGTAAGTAAATACAAAAACTAAAGAATTAAACCTTATTATCATTTATACAATTTTACATTTGTCAAATTAGCAAAAAAATGTCATTAGCAAAAATAAAAAAAAATATAATTAAAATATAATAAAAATAAATAAAAACTACTATAGATTTATAAATATAAATAAATAAAATATAGTACAATAAAACAATAATAGAATATAATTTAACTTTAATAGAATTAAACAAGTTGCGTAGCTACGATTTATTTGTAGCGAACAGTTGCAAACGACAACGTTAGAAATAAATTATACGTAATGAATAGTGTAATATAGATCTAAGCTATTTACAGGGCTCGCTCATAGTGAACATATAGTCGTAGATTTAGCACTAAATTTTTATAGTAAAATACTTTGCATCATCTATTATTTATATATTAAACACATTATTTAAATTTTTTAACATCAAATCCTTACTTACACAAAATATTATCTTTAATATATATATTTAAGGAGCTAAAAACTCCGTATATAGAATACGAGCATGAAGCTCATTAACTTCATCGCTGCTACGTGCTTTCTATCATGCGTTAATCTAACTCATCGGCGCACGGTCTTGTATCGTAGCCTCAACTAAACTGTAACTGCAGACGTTAGACCATTGTGTTTGTAAAGTTAGAGCCCTTGGCAACTACATAGGTTGGATGCTTAATGGGCATGCTCGGCGCGGTCTGTGCCTTTGACTGTTGGGTCGTACCTTTTGATCCTTCGTTTAGTTTGAGTACATTCTTTAACTTAATAAAATATCGCCAATCAGCGGTCTAAATAAAAGTTATCGTATCTAGCGGTCGAAAAAGATCGACTCTTATAGTACACGGTTGTTACGTTCGTTATTCCTTGAGTCTTTTGGTACGTGTTTACCACAAAATTTAGACGATCGGGAGCCATCCACGGATGGATTGCAGTACATGTGTATAAGAGTGGAGGCATCGTGGTGTTTAGTAACCCTCTATGACGATTGAGTCTGTTAAGCTTACGCGAAGACAATAGTACCCGCACCTTAATAGATTTTTCACCAAACAATCGTTGTGATTATGGTTGTCCTGCTTTGTAGAGACGAATCGAGGTATGTACGGTGCCGTGGAGAGACGAAGGCTTATTGTTACGTATCGAAAGGTACGCTCTTAAAAATGGTAAAAACAACGTAATCAAACAGGTTCACTAGACTAGTGTAATCTTCCTAGGATCAGTGGGAGTATTACTATTATCTCTGACTTGTGCTCGTCCAAGTTACTTCCATCGACGGAAAGAGTTTAGCATAATATAGCTTGACTGATGACCTGTGTAACAAAAAAACCTTAAGGTTACCCGTGATGTACACTAGCGTTGCCTTCCGGAGACAATCCTCTGTGAAATGCAAAGGAAGTTATGTGTTAACTCTTTAGGTTCACTTTAAGCCTTTGGATACACATATATAAGATTCCTAGGTACTTGGTTCTTGCAAGTCACTAACTGCGTGCGAAGGCTTTTGAGCTAAAGGCTTAGGAATTGAGCAACACATTAGCACTATCCCTCTTCCATGGGACTGCGGTGGCAGCAGGCGGCCGCGTCGTAGAATGGTACTGCTATGTACCTGAATCTATAGAGTTGGATTTCCATACTGACTCTAGGTTCGGGTGTACTACTAGTACTGTTGAGATGGCTTGGCCAGCTTTGGGCTGGGCGTACTGTCTTGTACGGTTTCGCTTCGGTTCGGGTTCGCTTTGAGTCATTTTCGGTAGTGCTAGTTCCTATATAGACTCGCCCTATATGGGTTAGCGGTACTGTATGAGATGAGTGCTTCTAACCAGTGTATATACTATAATGAGTGCGGCGAGCCCGACGAAGTGCAAAGCACTCTCGCCTTAACTTCGATGGCTTGATCGGCCCCGTGGTATTCTTAAGCATTAACAAGTCCTTTGCAGACGCACGTTGACTAGGGAGTGGGGCGCTTTACCCTTCACTATACAACGAGACCACTGTATGTTTCTTGCATTCACCCTATAGTGACACACGCGTCTTCTACTCGGACTATGACCCCATAGCAATAGCGTTCGCACTCCAAGCGACTCAAGTTAACTTGTGGGCGGAATAGAGTTTCCCATCGGAACCGCTGCTAGGCGTATTAAACACCGCCTTCGGATGACATTGCCTTTTATGACCAGCTAGCCAGGCATACTAATCGCAATCTGGTGAACCAACTCATTAAAGACCATGGGTCTCTAGTTTCTGTGTGCAGGTGAAATAAATAAATATATAAAGGAACCTTCTCTATCTATGACCAGAATGTAGTTTATCTGCACTACTCCTGATTGAGAGCGCGAGTATTCGAACTTACTGCTTCGATCAAGCATCAGGTAAAAATCAATTAAAAAATAAATTGACCGTAGCTGGCCGGTGCTAAAAAGATAATTATTTCTCTGTCCGAAAGAGTCGGCTTTTTTTTACTAAACGTGATTGTTTAATTACTGGTAGTCTCATAAACTTTTCTTAATTATTTATAAAATTATTTTATGCACCATTTATGTTATACTTTACATGCAATTTTTAGGAGCAGTAACATTTTTTGGTGTTCTTTGATGACCCCAAAAGGATTGCTTTGAGCATCGTTTTGTTTACTTTAAAATTTTTTTGAAAATAGATGGTATTTTTTAAAATAAAATTGATGTTTAACAAAAATGGGCCTTCACTTTTTAAATGGGTGGAGGTAAGCTTCTTGGCGTCCCCTCAGAACACTAGAGGGCCCAGTTAACGAACAAAATTATCAAATTAAAATTTCTGAGCACACGCAAAAGTTTAAATCAGAGAAATATTTGTCCGTCTTTTTTTTTTAAATTTTATTAAAAAGCTTTTGGAAAAGATGAAAAAGTAAAATAAGTATTCTTTTAAACCGATTCATCTTACAGAGTTGTCCAAACAAAGCACTTAACTACTAGGATATTAAGCAAATCGTCTTAGTAACCTCAAAGAAGTAAGTAATAAGGGGAGGGGGAAGAGTTATATAAAGCTTTCCTCTTTACTAGAAATCTTAAAAAGTTTTTAGTATGAAAAATTCGTGGCCACATTGAAATTATTAATATGAAATAATTAAATTATAGGAGAAACTAAAAACGAGTGCGTAACGCAAAGCACCCATGTTAACGGCTGGACACTTCACATTCCAGAGACAAAAGTCTCAGTTATTATTTACAATAAAAATTTAGCGAAGGCACGTAGCGGATTTCATCTTTTTGATATAAAAACTGTGGAAAGTCTTAATTATTTTATAAGTAAAGTTAATAGACAAAAAAAAGTTTTCTAGTCCCTTAACTTGCCCCCACCCTATATTTAACCGAATAAATTAGCTAAAAGCCTAAAAGAGTTTTTATTTAAATCAATTGGGGCCGTAAGATGAGTAGTCAGTAAAGCCGGATCGAACAAATTGTTTAAAGTTTTCCTTGAAACTATCTGCAAGTTTTCTAGCGGTTTCGTCGTACTTGGTCTTGTCTTGCCAACCAGCACGCGGGCAAAGTACTTCAGCTGAGAGGGAGCCCAGCTTTTTAGGCACGTCAAAGCCAAACACGGGATCCTTGTAAAAGTGAGCCTTATTGATACTCCCATCAAGAATGGCGTCAATGCACTGCCGCGTGACTTTAAGGCTAAGTCTTTTCCCAGAACCATAAGAGCCGCCACTCCAGCCGGTGTTAACCAAAAACACTTTCGTGCCTGACGCAAAAATTTTTATATAGCAGAACGCGTGCTCAAGGCAATGGTCAATACCGTATTTTTGAAGTTTTTTTTGCAACAGATCTGCATATTTAGTTGGATGAAGCGGGAGAAAGGCAGCTCCAAAGCAAGCGCTAAAAGTAGCCTGCGGCTCGGTAACACCGCGCTCGGTTCCGGCCACTTTAGCAGTGTAGCCCGATAGGAAATGGTACTGCGCTTGTCCTGTAATTCGTTTACCCGAAAAGATTACTGCTGCGGATAAAATCTTAGTACGGATGAAAACCAGAAGACAGCCTGGAGACAGGCGGCAGTACACCATAAGCGTCACACGTTAGAAATATACAGTTGGTGGGATGGCCGGCTTTCGAGTCCTTCTTGTGATTTTTAATGTGGTAAATTGGATAAGAAACTCGGCCGTTCTCGGTTTTTGTTATCTTACAAATATAAAAACATTACAAGCAGAATAGAAAAGTAGTCAAGCAGTTACATTGGTGTAGTCAGGCTCGTGAGATCCAGGCACGATGTAGCAGTTTTCGAGTAAAGCATCTCTCTGGATGGCTCGAAAAATCTCAGGTTCGTGTTCTTCTGTCAAATTAATGGTTTTCGCGTAACAACCCCCTTAAAGGTGTGAAGCAAGTCTAGTAGTAATTAAAAAATACAGGAATAGTAAGTACCCTCAAAGTTAAAGATGCCCTCGTCATCCCAGCCATGCTCGTCGTCTCCTATAAGAAGGCGCTTGGGATCGGCGGATAAGGTAGTTTTGCCCGTCCCAGAAAGGCCAAAAAATAAGGCTGAGTCGCCTTGTGGTCCGACGTTAGCAGAACAGTGCATGGACATGATGCCTAAGAACAAAAGCAGTATTTAGACAGCCTAGTAAACTCAAAATTAGAACGCTGACCTTCTAAAGGCAACCAGTAATTCATCATACTAAAGATCCCTTTTTTCATTTCTCCCCCATAATAAGTTCCTCCAATAAGTGCGACATTTTTCTCAATGTTAAATGTGATGAAAACTTCAGAGTTTAATCTTTCATTTCTATAACTTGGATTCGTAACTTCATAAAGTTAAAATAAGTTAGTTTTCCCATTAATTATTTTACAATAACTAGAGGTACTATTATTGAAAATATTTAGTTAACTTGTACCTTTGCAAGCATTTATAACGGTGAAATCTGGCTGAAAATTTTGAAGTTCATCTCTAGTAGGGCGAATGAACATGTTTGTTACGAAGTGGTGTTGCCACGCCAATTCAGTGATAAAGCGCACTTTCTTTTGAGTTGATTTATGGGCTCCGCAGTACCCGTCAAAAACATAGATAACACCCGCAGCAGTAAAGTGAGTAGTCACCTAAAAAAATAACGGTAAAATGCTATAAAAACAAAACTAAACAAAGAAAAGGTAAATTTACGACTCGAAACTACCTTTTTATAAAGCTTATCAAAAGTTTCAGGTTTCATAGGCCGGTTAACTTGGCCCCACCAGATATTATTTTTTGAAGGAGACTGTTCCACAATATACTTATCCATTGGACTTCTCCCGGTAAACTTTCCTATAATTTAGTTACATAGCTACAGGAAAAATAAAATACTAAAGAGTAAAACCAGTATCTACTGCAAATGCGCCATTTTTAATAAAAAGTCCCTCGCCGTTACTCCTTTCATGGCTAGCAATTTCATCATAAGATAAATTTTGAAAACAAGGGGCGCTTTTATTTTCAATTCCCAGTTTATCAAGGCCTGTATATAGATAAAGGAGTACTTTAAGCTGGAAAGGAAAGAAAGTTTATACAGAGAATTGACCTAAGTGGAATGCATTAGATGTAAAACGTTTAGTTCTTTTTATCTTCATTAAGGTCATGCTATGACTTATTAAAACGACTCTGGAAAACATCCTTGGGTAACTATTGCAATAACTTAAAACTTAAATCTGCTTTATTTTTTATTAAATATGTGCAAAATTAGAGAAATATGTTAATCAGATGGCCCCTACGTGGTTATTCTGTTATATCAAACAGAGTGAAATCATAAAGCAATTGCCTTTTATTGCACGTTAACGGCTTTACATCATGAAGCAAAAGAAAGATAGCTCACCTAGCATAGACGTCTAGCTGTCCCTTTGTGCTACCAAATTATTTGTATCTAACTTTATATATAACCCCGAATTGACCACTAGCGCTCGCCTTAAATATAGTAAATATTTTAGATAGATATTCACATAATGTACAAGCAGACAGCACTTCCAGTGGTTTTCAAATAAAACCTTACTTGTGCCTCAGAGGCTTATAAAGCTGAAACTTGCACCCTAATAGTTAGTAAAACTATAACAGTATTGTGAACTTATAGAAAATAAAGTCATACATATTTACTAGTAGTCTATTGTTAGCAAAAGTTATTAGATAAAAACAACTATTTTTACTTCAACCGAGACTACGTAATTATTTCTGCCTTACTACGGAATTTTATAAATTCAAATTTCACTATTCACTTAACGAGTAGGGCCCACCATAGACTTACCACCTTGTATTCTAAATGCAATGAAAACCTTTTCTTCTGAAAATCTTTAAGGAAGATAACACCAGTTTATATGCCGCTGCTTGTCTATGAAAACAACAAAGATTTATATACATAGCTTGCCTATCACAAATTATGCAAAGCGTATTTATAAACTTTAAGGAGAAAAAGTGCAAGGTACGAATAGAAAGAAAGACAAAACTTTAAAATAGAGGCGACTCGCACTTTTAGCTATATAAAATACGAGATAGATATTAAAAATATATAAAAACTTTATTTAGGGCTATTTATCTGTGTAAAAGAACATACTGGCTCACAGTCTTAAGCTCAGGGAAGTATATATCAGCGCGCTTTAACCCAAAGATGTTTATATATTTATTTGCTACATTCTTGAAATCTAGTGTCCACAGCAGTATACTAAGTACTGCACACATATCCACTAATTACAGTTTGACTAAGTAGTTATATTTTCCGGTGGTATAGTCTCCTTCAGGCGTTTAATAACTGCTGCGATAGCGTCTGGGTTGACTCCGCTTTCGCAAAGGCTTACACAAATCGCAAGAGTTTCTTTATCCAAGCCAGTATTTAGTAATTGGGAGATTTCGTACAATACTAGTAAATTTTAAAAATTTTTAGCCATTTAATTAAAAAAATTGTTATAAAGCTAAAGACAGGAATTTTTTAAAGCAACCATATAGAGAGATAGAGAATTATTCAAAATTATCATATGGCGCTCTTACGGTCAAGGACATCTTCCGACTGGAGCCCGCTCATTTTGGCCGCACCGTTTTTGAAGCGCTACTAAACTTTAGACTTTAGAAACTTTGCCCTCAATCAGCATTTGCTAATAGAAAAACGAGCGTTAACTTCTGTAGCGTTTTTGGCTTTTACTTAAGGCTAAACTCGAGGTTAACCTATTTTTTCTGCCTCTGAAAGTACTCAAGTTTTCTATAAAACAGAAATGTTATCAAAAATATCCAAAACTTTTATATTTGCCGCTCACACCATTAAAAATCATTGAACATTTTAAAAAGAAACAATTGACTAATATTTTTCTACCACAGCTTTATGTTAAAATAAAATGCATAAATGTTAACCTTTTAAATTTATCTTTTATTTATAGTCTTAAATTTTGGTCTGTACATCTAATATGTTATCAGCATCAGGTATTAACAAAAACAGGTGGGATGGATGCCGTCAGCAGATCTTTCGACAATCTTGCTGGACCGAAAAACTGCTGCTTCTTTAAATTACAGCGCAGCGGGGTCCCCCACGCAACATAGCTGTAGCACAAGGTCGATTACTTCTACTTTTGTAAAGATTTCCTTATAGTAATAACGACCCGTTAACGCTTGCACTTACTAACTGACAGCCAACTCGTTGGCATGTTATCCCGTCAATGAATCCTTCTATATCATGTGAAATTACAATTGTGTTATAAGACATTTTTATAAAACATTTCGAATCTATGGCGGTTAAAAATAAAGCGTTTGAGAGAATATCTAAGTTTGCATCTAGACATGAAATATCCTTTTCAGGAATAAAGAAGAGAAGAAGTTTATACAAGTTATGGATATATATTAGTTTGTTTAATTAAACTCAGCTTTGGAATCTCATCATTACTTACGTAGTGTTGAGTTACGCAAATTTAAACGTAGTGAACATATATGGAAGAAGCGGAATGTTAAATCTTTCGGTGAAGAACAGTTGTTAATTCCCTCGGACACCCTGCTAAGCTCTTTTTGCGAAGAATTCCATAAGTTAAGCCAGGATTTAAAAGATTCTGACCTTAGTACACGGAAGATTGCTCTTGAAAAATTTAGGTTATTTTTATCTAATCTTACCAGAGAATATTATAGTTTATAGAAAACGCTATTAGCCTGTATTTTAAGTGTTTACCTTTGAAGCCTTGTTTTCGTTATTCCAAAAAATTCAGTGGATATCTTCGGTCACCTTTTAAACTTTGTTTTATGGTTTTTTTTAACTAGTGCTTCTATCATATAAGATAATAGTTACCGATATGTATAGCACCGAGTAAGTTTTATTCATCCAAGTCTATGGTGGAGCGATCGCAGCTATATATTTTTAGTAAAAGTTAACTCTTTGGTATATAAAAACTTTATATTGACAGTATAGCGCACCGTTACATATTAATAACTGAAATAACAGCAGCTTACTCGCGTGCAAAAATCTTAGTTTTTCAGAACTTTTTTCTCCTTAAACTTTAGATTGTGTATTAGTAGTTTTTTCTGCATACTTTTATCCTCCATTAGTTTAAAAAACTTTTATCACTGTAGGTTATTATTTTCGAGTCCCTTTATAGAAGAAGTTAAAAAGGAAAAGGGTCTCCAGTTAGTACCGACTCTGCTATTACTGCTAGCTGACGACGCTTACCAAGATTTACAGTACGAAGCTGCTTGTCTTTTGACGACTTTTTCTTGTTTTTCTGGTGATATCCTCCGAAAATTTGCTACAAAAGGTTGCTACTATCTTAAATATAAACTTGACTTTTTTAGTTTTTTTTTTTTTGCTGCAAATACAGCGCTCGCTTATTTTGTCGACTTACTCTTTTTTTAGACGTCGTTAAGCATCTTGTTGGTCTGGTGAATATGTCCAACGAACTTATATGTGAGCAAGCTGTGTGGACCCTAGGAAATCTTGCTGGTAACTGCCTGGAGCTAGCCCAACGTGTGCTTTCTCTGGGAGCCGTTCCAGCTATTAACTCACTAATACGCCGAGCATCGAGACTCTGCACTGTGAAGCTAGCGGTCTGGACCCTTTCTAACCTGTGCCAGAGGGACACTTCTTTTGAAGGTGAATCCGAAAAACATTGCTGGTCTGCCCTTTCCTGGCTCATAAACAGCAGTGACGATATTGAAATTCTAACCGACACATGTTGGTCTCTACAAAACTTGTGTTTCGTTAGTGGTGGTAGTTGCAGCGACTCGCTCTCCCAGTCTGGGATCCTTGGTCGCCTTGTGGATTTGGTGTCCTCCGAAGAAATGAGTATCAAAATGCCCGCTCTCAGGACACTGGGTATCTTCATTTGCCACAATCCATGGCATATACAAATCGTCTTAAACTGTGGAATTCTCAGCGCAATAAGAGATTTATTAAAGCATAACAACGAATCTCTGGTGATGGATACCTGCTGGGTAGTGTCACTTCTCTCCGAGGGAAGTTGTTACCAAATCCAGTTCGTTATTAAAACAAATATTCCTCAGCAGTTGACTTGTCTTATGAAAAGCGAATCGAGGGGGATTAGAGAGGAAGCAGCCTGGGCTGTGTGTAACTTGCTTACTTGTACGTAACCAATTCCTCTCCTTTCGCAGAAGTACGACTCAATATGCACGCGTCTAGGTGGCACCCAGGAGCAAACAGTCGCAGTTTTGAACCTCAATTGTACCTCTGATCTGTGCGCTGTTCTGGTGAGCGAGCTCGATATCGATTTCTTAAGAGTTGCACTTTCGGCATTGGAGAGAGCTCTTAGAGTTTCTATCAATTTCTGCAGCGACTGTGAGTTTTGCCAGGGCTGTTCTTCATGTGAACGCTTAAAGAATCTTAGAATTGACATCGAAGAAAGCGCAATGACCACTCTTACTGAACTTTCCGTCCACCACAACGCTCAGTTATCTAAATTTTCCTTGAGAGTACTCCATCTGCTCTCCGCCGACGACGCAGCCGAAACAAGCTCGTCTCCGTTCTCTCCTCGCCTTACAAGTAAACCAGATAGAGATAGGAGAAGAGGATCTGAGTCGCCCGAAGTAAGCTTATATTATTTCTAATTCAAGTTACTTTCGTCTTGAAATTGTTAATTTAATATAAATATAAATTAAATTTCATGTATTTTTTGAGTGATTTTTGGGTTTTTTAATAAAAGGCACCAATTATATCTGCAGACCCGTAAAACGTAAACATGGTTATGAAGGCTCGGTTAAAATTAGCACAGAACTAGAAATAGTGTTTGTTATTAGCGTCATAGCATCAGCTTTAAGGTTTGACTTGGCTTGGTAGCTTCTTTACTTTTGCTATAAACAGCCCGCTGGTTCTTGAGGTCACGGGGTCAAAACGTATGGTTTTAGTTCTAATTTCTTCGTCGTTTGTGTTTCCTTGATTAAGAAGTTCTACCGGCAAGTTAGGGACTTCGATCTTTACTAAGAAGGCGTCCCTGTTATTAACGAGTAGGTCCTTGACAACCTCTTCATTTTGACATACTGAAAAACTACAGGTACTGTGCAAAGATCTAAGTAACTTCAGGATCAACGAAGTAACCGACATACCTGTACACTAAAAAACCGCCAGTCTTCAAAAGGTCAAACCCGCGCTGTAGAAGACGCTGCGGACCGTTGAACATCAAGTTTTTAAAACAGGTTTGAAGTTAAAGAACCTTTTGAAGGGCGCAAAGAGAAGCAAGCCTTTCGGGGGTAAACAGTCTCCGTTCAAAGGAGTCCCACCCCCACTTTTCGTACTTGATCACGTGCTTGATAGACGCGTCATGGGTGCACTCTGCATCAACGAGAACCTTTTCCGTTAGTGTCGATAATTGATTAATAAAACCGGAAAGAAAGAAACTCTGTCATAGAAGCCGGATGATAAGCCTGTGGGGCCCCAAGCAGAGGGAAGATAAAAAATTGTTAGCGGTTGAGCTTTCTCGGGAAAAGCATGAGGGAAGCTGAATCTCGGGGGTTGGTTTGGAGCGGGTATGGAAAAATTAGCCCCGTCACAGTTGTAAAGCCTTACGTTATAGTGTTTGTACTTATTTAGAACTAAAGGGAATGCGATATAAGAAACTGCGCGCTCGTTTATAAATAGTTGAAACCTCCTCTACAGCTTGACAGACGCTGTGCATGGATATCTACACCAGTGACAGATCCTAGTTTTCCAACGGCGTCCGAAAGCATGCAAAGTTTAGCGCCGGGAGCACAGCAAAGATCCAAACAATGATGCCCAATCTGAACATTTAAAGCGTATACAGCCGCACCTTTGCATAGTGCTTATGAATTAATTTCGTTTAAAAACATTTTTATTTTACTTTTTTAAAAAAAAATTACTTTGCAAGTACGCAAATTCTAAGATAAGAAGCTTATAACAAGGGCGTGCTAAGCTATAAATATGTTTTTTACCAGAACTCAAATCGATTCCATAAATCTTGCCTTCCTTATATAGTTGAGAGCTAGCTATTTTTACATTGCTGGGTAGTTCATAAAAAGAAAGTAACCAAGGGACTTGAATTACGGTAGCATTGAAAGCTTTTTCAAGATCATCTAGTGAAACATTTTCACCAGCGCGCAACCTGTGTTAAAAAGCATTTCAATTTAGTTCTGAATGAGAAATACTCTCAAGACTAGTTTACTAACCTTATATAACGGGGATTCTCCTTAGCAAGTTCGTATACAGAACAGTCAACACCATTCTCAGCCAAGAAATTGAGAAAAGGTTGCGGTAGTTTGCTCTTAATTCCTTTCCTGCGCGTAAATTTAAAATTAGCAAGTTGATACAACAAATACGTTTAATATGTACATTAAAATAAGTTGAGCATAAAGCTACGCCACTTTCTTTTGGCTTAAAAATAAAAAAAAAAATCAGAAGTCGATAAAGGTTCAACGATATATCGTCCAGATGACCAGTTCATACTGTCTTGTGGTCTCCTTGGACCACCTGCTAGTATTGCTTTATAAGATGGAAAGAGGACCAAGTTTATTCACTCAGCTAATTATGTTTTGAACCAAATCCCCCTAGTATGGCACTATAACCACATACGCCTCGCCAGACACTACCGTTGCCGGATTTAAAGCTTTGTACTCTAGGCCTACCACATCACCACGACACTAGCAGAAACTCCCAGCAGGCGCTAATCTGCCAGTGTCGAGGCCATACTTGAGTGACATAGTATCTCAGCGCACTGAGGAGTGGCGCTAAGTCAACCTTACTTCCCAAAACCGGCCGGTGAAAGCCAAGTTAGTATGACACGTCGGAGATAGTTGACGGTGACCGCACTTCTCTTTAGTAATTAATTAAAATAGACAGATTTTGCAGGCGTTGACCTCAACCTCAGCTATGCGATGGCGATCTAGTGTTGGAAGACAACATAGAGTAGGCGAAACTTTAAGTGGATCGTTTTACTACATGGCTGTTACTTGTCCCTTAAGTTGCTAAAGGTCTTCGAGCAATGCTTCCCAGTTAATACCAGTGAGCCGATTGTGCTGGCTACCGCGGTAGAAATTAGGGGACTTTTATATCTCTGCAAGAAGGAAGATACCCGGTCCCAACAACATTACCAATTTGATGCTAGAGCAAACGCCGTTGTTGGCAATTAATTGTCAATGCTGACCCTCAAACTTAGCACTAACCATAGGCATCTTTACTTCTCGATGTAAGAAGGCAACAGTTTCATTTGTGCAGAAGAGACCGCACTTAGCCTCTACGCCGAACAACTATTGTCTTTTCAGGCTCTTGTAAGCGGTCGGCAGGGTAGCTAAAATCTTCTAAGCGCCACTTGAAAATGTTTTTCGGTGCTAGAAATGCTAGTAAAAAGGTGCGCTTAATATTATGCCAAAGGCGCTCTACTAGGTTAAATATGCAAATCCATTACACCGTGATTGAGTGTTGTCGTCGTAGTCAAGCAGTTAAGTTTCGTACTTACCAATTTCACTATCTTTTTCTCTCTCTGTTGGTAGCTTACTTAACCCTGCCCCATAAAATTAATACACTTTACGCCGCAGCAGCATCTCCATTAAACAGAAAGGACGAACCAGGTTTTCAATTAAAGAAGGCTACAATCGTGGCATTGCTTGACAGTGACAAAAGATCGAGTTTGACACAAGTCTTGCTTTACCAGCAGCGCATCATAGGTCACTTCGAAAGTATTAAGTGTAGATTATACTGCTATAAATTTGTCATCATGTCGTTCGCCTCTGCACCGACAGTTGTAGTGCTATCTAGCCACGCTGAGCAAAGCACTTGACGCATTGGCAACTCCACTGCCGCTATCTTTCGACGGTACGGGACATGGTGGCCCCTAGTGCTCCCAGGCTAAATATTAGGGGGTCAGCATCGAAAAAATTTGTGGTGCCTGGTCCACATGCACTTTTACTACCAAAAGTTAAAGTAAATACTCAACTTCTAATCGCTATATATACAAAACTATAATATTAAAAGAATTACAAATACAAACTCAGAATTATGTATAGCACTATTACAAAATAACAAATTTATCTTGCTAAGTTTGCGTAGTATTCTAAGGTCTAAATTCCTCTTTTCAATTACGAGACAATAAACTTTTGTAATAATAAAACAATTAACTTTAAAACTACAGAAGAATCTAAATCGGTGACTGACTCAAAAGCTTACCTACTTTTAATAATACGAAATTTCTTTTAAAATATTTAATAAGTAATATGTATAATTACACAAGGATAAAAGGATTTTATTCTATTTTTCTGGTTATACTAATTTTTTTTAAGGAGGGGACCATATTATCTTACTTTTTAAAAAACTTTGTTCTTTTAAAAAAACTAGACGAAACTAACTACATTATTTGATTTGGTGGTTAAAAGATTTTGTTATGAATAAAATCAACTAAACGTTAGTAGATAATAAAGATAAAATTTGATTACTAGAAAAAAGTTTAAGTTAAAGAATAATGCACTAAATTTTATACTTTGAACTCCATGTATATTTACACTGCAACCTCTACTGTATTAGTTACGAATATTTAAAAGATCGTTTTGAGTTTGCAAACTTTAAATGTTATTTAGTAAAAAATGTTAACAAACCTAGCCTTTTGATGAAAACTAAGTAGTAGAACAGGTGCTTACTGTTTTTTTAAATTGATGTTCTGCAATGAGACACTAAGATCTACGCTGGATGTATTAGATGCCACGAACCCTAAATAAAATATATTTCCAGTTAAGAGCAAATCTCTATGAAAGCTGTTTCCCTCAGAAAAAAAAGGTTAAATTTAAGGTTATTTAAAATTTACCCAACTAAGAGACTGTCCTCAATTTGTCGGCGATCTCTGGGTAGATGTAGCAACACGAAAGGTAGAAGGCGTTTAATGCGCGCTCCATCCTAAATATCTTGAGCACGCAAGTTGGTCTCGTCAAGTACACAGTAGATTAAACTTATAACAAATTTCAGGGGCTGTTTCTCTATTATTAGTTATGTAAATTGTTTCAATTTTGGTTATGAAATATGTTGGTGTTAACTCTGACAAACCACTTCTTATACGTGGTACATATATCATATCATGTTTTTTATCCCATATGCCCCTACCGCGCGTCCTGATGAGGTACCACGTACACACGTGCTATATCATGTGCTTCATACCGCGTGACAGTGTCGCGCGTAATAGCGCATGCTTCTGCGTCTGTCCCTCATTTTGAACCTTGTATTTTTTCCTCTGAAGGTATAAATACCGTTCCTCTACGGGACAATAAATTGATGTCTCCTCCTCTTTTTCCCCGTCAAAATATTAATACAATATTAACCCACTGCTACGTGTTATCCAATTTCATAACCTGCACACCATTTGTTAGCATGGGTTCTACAAAAAAGCGTTTTTTAACAGTGATTAGCTGCTGTAGCGGAAGGTAATTCGGTGGTGCTCGCTTTTGCACTGGCAGCGTAGTTCATCCCATTTGTGTCCAAGTCCGTCTTCAGTAGTTCTCGAAGAAGGTGGGATTGAGTAGTTAGTTTTATTGCAGTTGTTCTTCTGTTAATAGGTATGGCATTACTGTTATTAATAATATTCTTACTTTTTCTGTTATTATAACTATAATTATTATTTCTACTTTAATGTATTTATTATTGTTTTATATACTACTACTATTCAGTTTTATTGACAATTTTAATTGCCATTCCATTGTCTCCTATACCTATGAGTTCACCTATCCCTTAATGATCCAAGGTTTAAGTTAAACCACATTTTTCAAAAGACGTAATTTCTATTGGTTATTTTCTTCTTTTAAATTCATCCAAAAAGGATTTCTTTACCTCATAGTTATTAATTTGTTTTCACTTCCTTTTATTCATATGAAAAGGTATACTAAAATATGTTTTAATTATTAAAACTTGTATCTTAAAAGTTAAATAAGTTACTCATTGTGGTTGTTGTCCGCAGCTCAGCGTTTTAAAGCTACGACGAGAAACTGAAGGCCGTGAGCAGCATTTGATAGTCGCGTATTTAACCTCGCCACCACAAATTTTATTAGAAAATCTCAGTAAGGGTTAAGTAAAGTTTCTTGTTCACTTTCAAATTTTGTTTTTGTAGTGCGCAAGGAACTAAAATTCGCTTTGAACTATTCTTTTCTGTTAAATATGAGTTTAATTGAGAATTGCAGAGAATTTTTTTATAATTCTTTTATTTCTCATATCACTGAAAAATTCAAAGTTTTTAATCCTGGTTTTGGAATGTCTTTTCACCAATTTACTAATAAGAAGAATACTGAAGATGAAGAGACTGAAAACGTTAAGGAAATAACAAAAGACTGTTTAACATGCCGTTTCGTTGCTTTTTGGACTATGACTGGCGTGGGCACCTATTTTTACATCCAAAGATTCCGTCACTACCCGAAATATAATAAATCTCTCGCTATCTTAGGTACAATATCTATCTTCCTAGGATTTGTTAAACTCTTCAAAGTGGACACTTCAACAACCTCCTAAATTTTCAAAGAGCTATTTCTTTTAGTACATTCTACTTAATAGTTTTATTACTTTGACTGTTTAATAAAAGACAATAGTAGTTTTTTAAACTATAAACACGTATACATTCATCGTTGTGTAAAGCTTAGTACTATGGCCTCGTAGCTAAATTTACGTTTTTAGCGTTCCGATCAGGGGGGTTTATGGTCACAAAACAAAACAGGAGCAATAGTTATTTAATATATATGTCATTTTAGGGTTTTTTTGGGAGCTAAATTATTTTTAAAGCTTTGCGAATTTTTTTATTACTTATAAGTTTTCCATAAGTTAACCTTATGTTCATTTTTTTAATATTATATCAAATGATAAAATTTCAAACAAAATAATATATATAGTTGATAATTGCTTAATTCGTTGTAGTTTTCTTATTATAGCTACCTTGGTTAATGTACTGACGAAGTAAAAGAGGAAAAGTATTCAGTTCATTGTCCCAAAGGAAGATCACTAATACCTTGGGAGAGTCAAAGCGTAACAGAAATGTGGGGAAAACAACGCATGACCTAAGTTACGTGGTATATGCACAGGTCAAGTCATATGGTGAAACGTCACAGAGCGTAGTGAAACAAGCGGCATGGGCACTTGATCTATCGGAGCTAAGTCCGGCATAAAACATTGTAGGTTTAAAAAAGAAGTGCGAATAAAGACTGCCATGAAATCTACCATGACTAATTCCCGATTTTAAGAGTAGAATCCTTAAAGAGTTTTCGTAAAATAATCGGAAAATTTGTTTCTATCAGGTTAACTTCATCAGCAAAAAAATTTGCATATCGTTTTGACATACTAGTCGTTATATCCGTTATAACTTAAACTGCTTAATCTAAATCTCCTCTGTACGGACAGGGTTGAGGGGGTACCCTCCTTTACAAATTAAGGCCTCTCGGGTCAA